CCAAACAACTTCTTACTCATGCAGTTTGAGTAACACTGTAGATTTAATGTCAAATACGAGTTTGCCTCATTCCAAAAATCCAATATAAATGTGACTTGAGATAGAATTGGTTTGCCTTAGAAGTCACTTCTGCACTGTGACTAACTTTCTGTCTTTGATAGTTGTGCTATGTCATCCTAAATAACATTTTCCAAGCGAAATACGATGGCATCAAAAGGCCCACTCACATAATTGTGGAAAAAATTCAGCATCTAGTCCTTAGGATGAAAAGTGGTGTTGTTAATTCTCTTATGTTGGTGTCAAAACCAATTTGCCATGTAAACTAGTTACATTGCCTATCTGGACTGTCATGCGATTCTGCAATGTTGACGCATGCTCTCACTTGGGATTACACGTGTTTAGTTTATATGCAATGCGCAAGAGTCAATTGAGCTTATGGTGTCATATTCAGACTCAAGTGTTTTCAGGTCTTCTTCTATTCGATTGTTTGTCCTGCCCCCACCACCTAGATTTAGTCTTTGTGCAAGTATGGTTCTCAATAAATTTCCAATATTCGAGTCTTCGATTCACGTGATTAGCCATTTTATGCGAGATCCTCTTCGTAATTTCACTTCATTTGATCTTTCCTTTCGACCGTAAAAGTTGGCCCTACCAAAAACTGGAAGATTGCCATTAAATTGCGACGTTCTCATTCTTTAAATACATCATCACCACTTCGTCCCCAGACCCTACAAAAATATCTAATACCCTTTTTAGATGAGGATGCTGCAATATTTCCGGATTGTGTGGTAATTTCGTAGTAAGAGAAGACTGGCGATTCACTCAGAAGAGGCATTCTCGACTTTATTTTTCGTATGTTAGTAGAGTCTCTCAACTTAAATCTTTCCGCAAATGTCTATGGGTCAAAAAATCGTAAATAGCTGGAAATATAGGGTAAACAGGACAAATAAGAGGATTGTTCGTTCATGAGTAGGGTTTCGAGACTACCAGTGAATAAGTTATATGAGATGTATTCACTCGCCCAAGGTGGTGAAAGACTTGTTGCTAAATTTTCCCACAATGTTATGAGTCGAGCTGACGTTTCCGTTGAATTTCACAGAGCCTTGCTTTCCCAAAAGGTGTCCTCATTCAGAGTGGACTGAAGGACTACCAGTCTTTAATCATATTAAACGAAACAGGGTGAATAGGTCTCATATAATTGATTTACTGTAAGTCTCGAAACCCTACTTATAAACGAAAAATACGTAATGTAGTATATTGTAATAGCAAATGTAATTTCTATCGAACATTGGTAGGATTTCGAGACTTCCAGTAGATCAGATATATGAGTTGGGTTCACCCTATTTCGTTTAAGCTGATGAAAAACTAGTCATTTACGATAAAATTAATGCCGTCGATTTATATGGCAAATATGAGTTTGCTTCATCGACAATCCCAACACAGAATGTAATATGGAAAATGCCTAACCTTCCTTGAAATTCATATCTTCCCTTTTACTCAATTGCAATCGTGGCAATGTGGCGTAGTGATTAACGTGTTGAGCTTACACTCCGCGATGCCATGGTTCGACTGCCGCTTTGGTTAAAATGTTGAGATTACATGTAGCATTGTCATGGTTCGAGTCTCGGTGGCAGTGTTGATAAGACCTATGTAAGGTCGAAACTACAGTCCCCCCTAGATGAAAACATCTTTTGGCAAAGTAAGGTTATGTGCAATTCAATGGAAATTTTAGCTCTATTCATATCATTGTTGGAAGGAATAAAGTTTGGAAGAAAAGTTGACGAAAAGAAAACGAGAGCCCTCACACCTCGCATGTTCCATAGACATTGCATTAAAACCGTACAAGAGGACACTGACCCGTGTCATATTTCAATAGAGTAGCTGTCAAAAATACCAGATGCTCTCGAGTAAAGGCCGAATTCAGCCTAGTTAGCATAAGATGCTAAAGGTCTAGTAGTTGAATTTTTCCCCAATGACAGCATTAGGATTTACAATGTCAGTGAACTCCAATTAGTCATGTCTCCCAAAAGGCAGTATATTCCGAACTCACTAGGTCTCATCCTCACTCTCAACTGAAATCTAACCCTGTTCTGGCGCAGTTTGTGTCATTCTGTTGAATCCATCTTAAGAATGTGTCTGAAATGCGTCGACAGGCATCACCTTAAAACTAAAACTTCTACTCGTATATTATGAGAATATATCTATGAGCTATGTTCATCCTATTTCGTTTAAGGTGATGAATTAAATTTAACATAGCCTTGTTTCATCAAAAGGTGTTCTCATTCAAGGTGGACTTTAGTTTCGGCTTCGCCTAGGTCTTATCAACACCCTCAACGAGACTCGGGCAAGGACATTGCAGCGTGTGATCTCGACACGCTAACCACTCAACCGGTTTGCCACGAATGCCCTTGGGTCACAGGGTGAGTGTGAATTTTAATAAAGGTCATCACATTCTTTGGTAGGATTGTCAATGAACACCATTTAGGAAAGCAAGGTTGTGTGAAATTGAATAGAAACTTCAGCTCTAATCATATGATTGTGGGAAAATTCAACTACCAATCCTTCATCACCTTAAAACGAAATAAGGTGAGCATAACTTATAGATATGCTTTACTGGTAGTCACGAAAACCTACTCAAAACTAAGAATAAATGATTTTGCTCAAATTCAACCAAACAAGCAATTGACAGATGTACACTAAAGAAACACGAAGCCTGCATCCGCCAAAATGGTTTAGACAGAATCAATTGAAAATAAGAAGACAAAGGCTGCAGTTCAGACTCACCAACTGGTTTCGAATCCCGTTGAACTAGGGTCAAGGTCACTTCAGCAATTCCTTTCACTCTTCTTTTGAGAAGACGTGAATTTATCAAAAACTTAGTTGAAAACTACATTATTTCTCTTCGCGTAAGAGTTGTGCTACAGAATGGATGGGGCCTACATCCGGTTGGATGACTTTTGTTTGCTGTTCTTGTATGTCAGTTTATAGCACTACTTTAGGGTATACAAACTTCTCTCTTTCTTCCCCTTCCCTTCCTCCCCTCGTCAATTTAAACGACTGTCTGTTGTACCGTCAATAAGAAGTCCCTAAGTCCTTACGTCTTGTTCTTTCAGCAGTAAAGATGTGTGTCGTGTTTTGTACAATTAAATAAAACCTGTCGAGACAAATTGTGCAAGCAAGAAGAGGAGATAGTTTGCTATTTCGGGTAAACGAGACCCCCAAAACTCGTGGGTCGAGGGGTCATAAAGATTCGCTTCATACGTGGAAGAAGGGTTCAGGCCGAAGAATGAGTGCCATTTAGGGCACACAACGACGGGTTGACGACAAGACGGGCTGGGTTGGGAGTCGAACCTTTGACCTCTTATCCGGCCTTAATGAGCTGAATGTTGCGGCACTTATAGGAGGCCTCACAGAGGGGTGGGTGAGAGAGAGCTAGATATCGCGAGAAGGATATGCCAAGTGCAGCGGGTTTTGGGGGCTAAGTTCTCTTTCTCTCATTGCTGGCATAAAAACTCAGCCCTGTGGATGTGTTGCCAGATGGGCTTAAGTGTTGGGTTTGTTTTCTGGTTTGTATTCTCTTCTTCTTTGCCTTGATAGCTAGACTACAAGAGGGGTGGCTACAGAACTGAACTTGTCTTGTCTGTCTGCGTATATAGGCCTACATATTCGCACAATTTGTTGCTGCCTCTGACCACAGGTAGCTTATATTTCTTTATTTTTTAAAAACAGTGGCAGTTACAAATTGCGAGAGCAATTATATATCCTTTATTTTATTTGATATAAATAAATACAAAAATATCTATATAAAATACCTTACATTATTATGTATATACTTATTTTTAATTTTTTAAAGTATGTTTGTTTATATAAAGCTGCCTGTAGGCTGTCAGAGACAAGGAAGAGTAAAAGTACCAGCAAAAACAAGTACATATATTTTAATTTACCTCATATAAATAAATATATATATATGTGATTATTTAATTTTATGTTAGTATATTTTTGTATAATTTAGTGAAATATATGTTAAAATATATGCAGACAGTGAGACAGTTGGAGACAGAAAAGAATAAAAGGAGCAGCAGCGAATTGTGAGAACAATTATATCAATTATAATTTATTTACATTAGCATAAATATAAAATTTTATTATTTTATATGATATATATATAATATAATTATATTTGTATATATATTTATATAAACTAAAATATAGAATGACATGTATGTTTATCATCATACATTTTTGCTGTCACCTTTATCCTATCCTCTTTTCGACTGCCCTTAGGTAGCCATATATATATACATATATATATATATATATGTTCGCGTGTGTAAGTGTGTGTGTATGCGTTGACTAGGCGGTGGCTGAAACAATGGCGTCCTGGCTGGGGAGGTTGGAGTTAAGGCCAGAGAGAAATGCCTCTTCAGAAGTGCGGCCCAAACGCCCAACTCAATGGCCTGACCCCAAACAAAGACGTGCCACAATCTCGCCCGGTGGCCAAGGCCACTCCCAGAAAAGGCTTGTCTTTTGCTAACTGAAAGTACTCTCGACTGGGGCGATGTAGCTTGGTAGAAAGACGGAAGAAGAGATTAGAGGCATGCCCTCAACTGTTGAGGCTTACATTCATCCTCGGTCTTGCCGGCAGGGCAACAACAATAGTGCCCCCTCCATCCTCCCGCCGTGTTGAGCGTATGCCGACATGCAGGCATGCGGACACCAACAGCAACCTGTCAAATTCGGCTGCACCGACTTGCCCTCAGGCATCTGTCTCTCTCGCAAATGCAATTGCCATTGTACCAGACGTTTATTGCCCTCCTAATGAGGCCACACACAACTTTGGCGATTCAAGAAGTGCCCCAGTCTCCGAAGGCATGATTGGTGCTAAGCGATTTTGCCCGTGAAATTTACAAGAAATAAAAGTATCTCCGACAATCAATCATAAATGTACAGGCTCGAAATGTCAACAAGTCAACTGTCTTTACGAGACGCTAATCAACCAAACTTCCTCGATGTAGCATGGTGACTATAAACATCTTCCACCGGTCACTGACACGGAATCACATGACATTAATGGTACAATCAGGCTCGAGCCAGTGGCGTGTGATGCGAAATTAAAGTGACTAAAGTGAAGAGGTTTACATGTCGACTTTACTGAAAGACGACGTTTTATCTCTTGAATGTTCCCTTCGACGCATTCCACAAGACATTCTCCTTCACTTCGCGTTTCACACCGCCCGACAGACATTATCAGAGAGGAATGTCATTGTCGCAATCACTACGTCAAAAATAATAATCGGCACTACTTCACATGCCATATATACTCAGGATTAGAAAATGACTGAAAGAAATTGATTGACAGATATAGAATAAAAAATAATTTATCTTTATTTATGTGTTGGATGTGTGTTTATGTGTGTGGGTGCGAAATTACATGAGAAAGTCTAGGTTCTAAACAAAGTGAGTTTTATTCTCAGAAAAAGACAGCAATCGAATGTTATTGTGTAATCCCAAGTATTCGTATATATATGTTTCGTTTGTTTTTATTCGCTAATATATACATATATATATGTTGTGTTCACCGTATTTCGTTTAAGGTGATGAATTATTGCTAGTTGGATTCTCTCACAATCATATAAATAGAGCTGACATTTCCATTGAATTTCATATATCCTTGCTTTCCCAAAATGTGTTCTCATCGAGGTTGGACTGTAGTTTCGACCTCACATAAGTCTTATCAACAACCCCGCTGGGAATCATACCATGACAGTGATGAATATAATCTCGACACGTTAAGCACCACGCCACATTGCCACGAGTACCCTTAGGTCCCAGGTCAGATGTGAATTTCAAGGAGTGTCAGGCATTTTCCATATCACATTCTGTGTTCGGATTGTCAATCAAGCAAACTTATATTTGCTATAGCGATCTACGACCTTACTTTTTTCGCTAGTGAGTAGGTTTTTGAGTCTACCAATAAATTAGATATACGAATTGTGTTCATCCTATTTTTTTTAAAGTGATGAAGAACTGGTAATTGGGACAGCTTTCCCAAAGTTATGTAAAATTCAATAGAAGCGACAGCTCTATTCATATTATTGTGGAAAAATTCAACTACTAGTCCTTCATCAGCTTAATGAGCACAACTCATATATCTGCTTTTCTGGTAGTCTCGAAAAACTACTTTATATATATATATATATATATACTTGATGTACACTCGCAGCATGCGTAAGAACAAGATCAGTCTCTAGGGCAGCCTGCCAAATAGCATGACGAATGAAAGTTTATTCGGTTTTTAACTGATTCGATAGAGGATGTATAGAATAATGAAATACTTTGTATGCATGCATTTATGTCGATGTATACTTATTTATGTGTGTATGTATGGATCCATGTTCGTATGTTTATATTTTTATATGCCTGTGTATGTATGCATTTTTATATGTATGTATTCATGTATGTATC